ACGTTCATATTCACATCCACATCCCCACAAACACCCACACCCTTTTTCACGTACGTTAGTTCTTTCTCTCTCTCTTATATCACACTTGTGAACTAGTTACTTATGGCACAATAAAAATAGATATTAAAAAAAAAAAAAAAAATTCACATCATCTTCTTGAAATGATTTAAATGTTAATGTACCGATCATGTTGCTTGATTTAATTGTAATTTACATACTCTGATTCTGATTGTTCTTATTTTGACGATAATATTTACATTAGTGATCTAGGTTTTTCAACAAGAGATCAAGTTTCTTTATAGAAAAAAGCGGGAAAGGTGACATATCTAGTTTACTTCGTCAAATATTTTCTAGTTTCACACACTTAACATGAAGACTGATTTCTTAGTCGAAACGTTTAGTCTAAGTTTTTCTGAGATGCATTCAATAGTTTATTAGCAAGGCTCGGAAAAAAGCAGCGAAACTATACAATGAATTAAAAAAAAACTAATGGTTTGGATTGTTCTGAATTATTATTGCTGAGAGCAACATTTTCAAGTAAAATGAGCACAAACATTATGCTTATGTTTCGTTGCCCACATCTACATCCACAGCCATACTCGGTTTTTTACTCTCTTAGATTTTCTGGCATATATCAAGAATAAGTACGAAACTAACGTCAAGATGGTGCCCTCTGTTACATACATATAAAAGTAAACCACGTTAGGTGTATAAACAATGCAAATACCCTAGATTCTGAATTTAGAACATTGTTTATATATTTTCTACAGCTTTCCACCATCGAATCGTGCACGAGCGTAAAAAAAATGACCTACATGTCATTGCAGAATGTACTATTTATGCAAGTTATTTTTTCTCTCAGTCACGAGATTTAACACTGCTATCTACATAAATGTTACAGGTAACAAGAGTAAACATACACGATAACAAAACTCATAGAAAGATATTTTGACCTATTTTTACTTTTTAAAATTAGTTTCGACATGTGATACCTTTAATACATCAACAATCACTGTTTTTACATCCATGTTTTTCCGATTATGATATTTGGTATATTGTCAATCAATAATCAGCTGATTCATAGACAATAATGAGCAATTTCTAACGTGAAGGATATCGCACTTAATGATAAAGACAACTGCATACATCTTCATCTTTTCAATGAATTATGAAAGAACATTTCTTTCATTTTGACTTTGAAAACAGTTTTTGTGAAATACTTTCAAAATTATATCGTGAAAAACGGTGAAGTTAATTCGTATCGATATAGTAAGTATTCTAACTGTGTATATGACCGTCCACTTTGAGAATAAAAAGAATGGGTGTGAGTGATGATCGTGATTGTGGCAACAACCAATTACATCTTTATTCAAAACCCAGACCTTGACAGGCATGAGACGAATAGTACTATAACTCTAAATTCGAAAACATTAATCATGAATAAACCCAAAATAACGTCTCAACGGCTCTTCTACAACCTATGGAGGATGAATGCAGACTGCTGATGAAATTTTGTTATTATACATGTAACATTTGCTTTAAAGTAATCTTGTACCAAAACTCCTACAATCATAATCTAGAAGTTCAACAGTGAATAGTTTTGAGATCTGAACGAAGCTTGAAGTGATAATTCATCGTTTCATGACTCCAAAAGTTACAATTCTACAGTCGAAATTTCCGTATTAGTTATTTGTTCTCTAATTTGTGGTATCATTGCATTGTTTGATATTGAATGAATAACAATTGTAGATTAAGCATTCTATACCTCTCATTTCTATATCAATAACAACAAATTGTTCGATGTGTCGTGCAGTTGTCATACTACCTATTCTCGGTACGGTATTTCTGGTTTCTGGTATCGTTCTTATGCTGTATGGAGGTTCAATTATTCAAAAAGTTATTAAAAAGGTGCGTAGTATTATCTTCATATAACAAAATGTTACTAATTGATATCATTTTATTAGGAGTGTCAATTAAGAGAAGGAACACTGCTATACAAAAATTGGCTATCACCTCCCATACCAATATACATGTCAGTCTATGTATTTGACCTTCAAAATCCAGTTGAATTTCTCAATGGAGCTAAACCAATTCTTATTGAACGCGGTCCATTTGTTTACAAGTATGATCAATATTCTTTGACACAAAATGAAATATAAGTTTCTTTTTCTGTTTATAACAATTTTAGAGAGGTGCGTACCAAGATAAATCTTCGTACATATGAGAATGAAACAATATCATATCAAGAGCCTCGTGAATACATATTCGATCGGACACAGTCTGTTGACGATGATACATTTACTTTCACAACTATCAACGTCGTATATATGGTAGATAAGATAATCAGTATAAATGAGAGTATTTCACAAGTTTGTTTTCTTCTTTTTAGACTCTAATTAATTTAATACAAATGGAAAAGACGCTCAGTATCTATCAACACATCATAGGAGAACTTTTAGCAATGATCGAACAACCATTAATGACGCATTCAGTTCGAGAGTATCTATGGGGTTATAAAGATCCTCTGTTGCATGAACTGAAAATTCTATTGCCTGAATTAGCAATGGATGATCAAGTAGCACTGTTTGGCATGGCTGTAAGTTGTTTCTTATAGTTTTTCTCGTGATCTACTATCTTGAGATGAGTGGAAAGGTCATCTTTTGATTTTCGTTTTGATTTTTTTTGTACATATTGAATATTTCCAAGAAATATCATCGTATATTATTCTCGTTCAGGTCGATTTTATGGCTTATGACACATTCTTGATTAACAATGGAGTAGGTACCGATGCTAATGGTGTTGATCGTATCAATGAAGTTGGTAGAATTACTCGTTTCAATCATTCAACAAGTTTATCTATCTGGTTTGATTCATATGCGAATATGATCAATGGTACAGACAGTACACTTTGGCATCCCAATGCAAGAAAAGATGAACGAATCTACGCATTTATTCGTGATATTTGTCGATCAGTCTATTTAGAGTTTAACGAGACTCGAAGAAATTTCGTTGGTGTAGATGTCTATCATTATACATTACCATCAACAATGTTCTCAAACTCGACCGAAAATCGAGGTTTCTGTATGAATAGTACAACTGCCAATAAATCCCATGAGTATAATTGTTTGCCCAGTGGACTTTTTACTCAAACTCCATGTCAACATTGTGAGTAGATCAACTTATACCCAATACAAACAAAGTGATTCGGTTTTTGCTTTACATATAGTGGTTGGTTTGGCGGCCGATGTTCCATTGCCTTTCATTGCCTCTAATCCACATTTTCTTGATGCTGATTCTGCAGTATCGAATTCCGTTGAAGGTATGCATCCAGATGATGAAAACCACCGAAGTTTTGGAGATATTGAGCCACTGACAGGAAGTAAGTAGTACTTATATAATAATAGAAAATATAGCTAAGATCTTCGATACGATTAGTTATTATGAAGGGAGCACGCCGATTACAGTTCAATATGAATGTACCAAATGATTCATCGATCAGGTTTTAAAATAATTTACAGTTATATCCTTTAAGCATGAAGACTATTCTCATTTTAGTGCAATTAATAAGATTCATCCAGTGGTTTATCCAATGCTCTGGGGGAGTGAGATGAGTATCAAACTTCATTAATTCACTTTTTATCAAATACAGTCTACATCATAGCACGCTGTTATTGATGAACCCACTGCAAAAGTATTTCGAAAGTTCGTTGTTATACCTCTGACTGCATTGAAAATTATCAAATATTTGTTAGTTGGCATTGGTGGTTGCTTATTTATCGTGCTATTTATTTTACTGGCTATCAAAAGACATCGAGTAGGTTATATAACATTTAGACTACTTTTAATGTTTGTTCTTTTAAGCTACGAACAAGTGGCACGCTGTTTTCACATTCGATTCCTAATGAAACTTCATCATTAATCAGTTAAAGATTGTACATGGACATTAAATATATATTTGGTTTCTATTGAATTGATTGATTCATCTTTTATTCGTACATCTTTCTTTTTTAGATTTATTTTTTTTATTTATCATTATATTATATTTCAATTTTGATATTATAATAGTTAAAATAATTTGAGTAGCTTGCTTGTTGTTTGCCTTTGGCAACTAATGAATGAAAAAATCAATAAACAATAACAACGATGTATGACAAAAAAAAGTTTTTCTATTCCAAAATCAACTGAAAAGTAATAAGCGTGAATTTCTGAAGGAGATACCGTTTCGTTTATTCATTTGACTGACGAGCGCTCAACGGTTCTTTTACATTAGATAATAGGTCTTGAAATATGTCAAAAATAGCAAATAAAAATAGGAAAATGATTAAATTTCGAATCGGTGAAGATGAAAGTTCCAAAAGATATTTTGATAAAGTGCTGAATATATTCTACATAAAAAGTCGCATAGTGAAAAATCAGCAATTAACCATCTACTTGACATATGTGGTGCATATCAGAGTCACTAATTTCATATTTAGTCAAACAAGGTATTCAATACGAGATCAACAAAGATTGCTTACTGAACTATTATTGATCAACGCAAAAAATAGATCGATGAGTCCCAAGCAAGAATGAATGAGTAAGGTGCGGGTGGGTGGGTGTGGGGTGTGGGTGTGTGGGTGTGGGTGTGGGTGGGTGTGAGTGTGGGTGTGGGTGTGGGTGTGGGTGTGGGTGGAGTGTGGGGTAGGTGTGGGGGAATGTGGGTGTGGGGGAATGTGGGTGTGGATTTCAATTATTATTTACGTAAAAACACCTACACTCACATCCACACCCACACCCACACACACCCATACCCACACCCACACCCGCCCACACCCACACCCACACACCCACACACCCACACCCACAACCACCCACACCAGAGCGCGAAAAAATTGGTAAAAGTTAGATTCGATTCGATTCGACTGGACTTGGGTTCAACTCGATTCGATTCGGTTTATATTCTATGAAAAAAAGCCACATTATTAATTTTAAATTTCTATAGCTTTTTCGACAATATCGTCTCCCCGTGATGATAGATGATTCTCGCTCGTCTGTATAAAAATATAATTTTGATAATCTTCAAATATATCAATAATAATTATTTATTTTTACAAGAAAAAAAAAACATATAGTGAAGCATATTTAGATAAATCAAAAACAATTTAAGAAAATTTATTTTCGATCGAATGAAGAAAAATTATGTCATTGCCTGTTGATGGATCAAGGCTATTTTTTTGTTTGATTTTTAGAAAAATGATTTCCTGATCGAGGAGAAAGAATAAATGAACTAATACTAGTTTGATCAGATGATTCATTTCGATGACAACGATGACCATATAAATTAGCTGTGCTGGAATCTATATATTTGTATGTATCAAAACATGTTTTGCATGAAACGGAACCGGGTATAACTTCATATGTTTTTACTTTGTCATTCTTTACTTTTGCCGGGAAACCGAACGTATTCCAGAAAGATGCCGTTGCTCGCTTCCTTTTATTACAAATTACTTCAAAATTTTCATTATCTTCAAGTAATGCATGTCGAATAGAAGATGTTGAATAAATTCATGTTGTTGAAGATAATGTATGAGTTGGTGTTGCACAAGAAGAAGTAGATGATGAAGTATAGTCAACGTTTAACATAGTTATTTGTGTCATTTATCTAAAATTTAATCACTAACATTAGACCGCCGTTTAGCCTGAGCGAGAAAAAGAAATGAATTAGATAACACGTTCTTTCTTACGGTTATCTTTTATATCAATTCATATGCACTCGTCCATAACTAAATATAAGAAAAACAAAAGAGGGCGTTGTCAACCGAATGAGTGAGAAAACATTTGATTCGATTCGACTCGACCAGCACATTGGTCAATTCGATTCGATCCGATTCGCTGTTTTACTGTCTTTATTCGATTCGATTCGACTCGACAAAAAAAAGGAACTATTCGATTCGATTCGCATATGATGATGTTCAATTCGTAATCGATTCGATTCGGCTGGGACAAGCCGAATAGGCGAATGATTCGATTCGATTCGATTCGTTTTCGAGCTCTGACCCACACCCACAC